TTCCTTCCTTCCTTCCTTCCTTCCTTCCTTCCTTCCTTCCTTCCTTCCCTCCCTCCCTCCCTCCCTCCCTCCCTTTCTTCCTCCCTGCCTTTATGTTTTTTTTTCACATTTCAGGTACAAAAGAAATTGTGGCTGACGTTGATGATGATGGAGTAATTTCATTGAATTTTGACTGTGATGAGGGGACTCCAGACTCCAAATTTATTTGGTCCAAAAATTATGAACCAATTGATGATGACTCTCGATTAGCCATTGACACTAAAGGTGGAAAGTAAGAATTACTATAAATATTTATACTTGTATGTTATGTGTTATTTTATTTGCAATTTTGATTCATGTAAGGGAACTTTACCTGTTGTACCAAGAAAGTTTTCTCTCATCTCCTTTTCCCTGCATTCTAAGCCCCCAACCTTCAGGAGAATTGAGATGTGTGCTGAGAAAAAAAAGAAATAAATCTGCCAGCTTTGCACATTCTGATTCAATATATGAGGTATAATTCAGTAGAATGGTTGTTCTAAATCTGTATTTCATTCAAAGGTAACAGAAGTAACAGATTAACAGAGTTGGAAGGTATCTTGCAGGTCATCTAGTCCAACCCCCTCCCCAAGCAGAAGACCCTACATCTGCCTCTACCTAGAATTGAACTCACAGCCTCCTGATTGTGAGGCAAGAGCTCCACTTCTAGGTCACCACAGCTGTTACAGATTCCTCTCAGATGAAAATGCCAGGATTTACATAGCCAGGATTCCACGTGGAATGATTCCATCCATATTATGGCTATTTGTTTTTCTTTGTGGCTTATACTAGGTTTGGCTGGATCAGTGAGCAAAAACATTCCACAGATCTTCCATATAGCCTCTTCTTATGCTTGCTATCTCTGGTTATCAATCTGTGGTGTGTTTTTTAAAACATTACTTACATGAGGTTATCTTTCAATTATTTGCTCTGTCCATTTGAAAAATAGATTGTAAAGCCTGTGTTAGCAGTTCCTCGGCACATGCCTATTAAACGCAGCAATATTCACCAGCCTAGTGCTTTCCGAGTATATTGGGTTTAACTCTTCAAATTGTCAGGATGGGCCATGCTGGTGGAGAATTTGTGTTCTGAAACCCAACATAACAACAGAGCATTGAGTTAGGAAACGTAAACTATAGTAAATGTAATTGGAGTTTCTTTTATATTTTTTGAAACCCCTGTCTCTTCTTTCAACAATTTTTTTTGTCTTAAAGATCAAAAGCAATATTTAAAGATCTCAATGAAGAAGATTTAGGTATATATTCCTGTGCTGTAACTGAGACAGACGGTGTGTCATCAAGTTATACAATAGATGAGGAAGGTAAGAACAAAATGCTTTTTCTACATGTCAGTCTTGATCTTTGTCTCTGATAATAAATACAAATCAAGATACATTTCAAAATAAACATGAGACTATGAACAATCATAAAAATAAAATGTGAGACTATTTATATATTTACATTCTGCCTTTGTTATTTTTATAAATAATTCAATGTAGACAGCGTACTTAATACTCCTTCATCCTCTTATTTCCCATACAACAACAAGCCTGTGAGGTAGGTTGGGCTGTGAGAGTGTGACGGGCCCAATGGCCTAGTCAACTTTCATACTTAAGGTGGGTCTCCTGATTTGTAGCCTGGTGTCATAACCACTAGATCAAACTCTCTCTCCCTCACTCTCTCAATCTACCATCCATCCATCCATCCATCCATCCATCCATCCATCTATCATCTATCTATCATCTATCTCTGTATATATGCACCAAAATATGGCTTTTCTTACCCCGGTACTATATTGCTTTGCAGAAATGAAGCGTCTGCTTGCACTCAGTCATGACCACAAGTTTCCTGGTAAGTAAAGAAAAATGAAGATAAACTCTATACAGCATTTGTATTTCTGACATATTTTAGCAAAATAATGTCAGTCTCCCTTGCACTGGTTACAATAGGAAAGTGAAGTTCTTGGTGCTCTCTGAGTTTGATTGCCCATGGGATTTCTTGACACTGATACTGTATGCAGGTAATTTGCTATTGTCTTTTTTGAGGAAGTATTTTCAACTTCCTAATCTAGTCTACAGACCCAGTATTCCCAGAAGGTCTCCCAGGTACTTCCAAGTATTCAACAAAAAAAAATCTAACCCTGCTTAGTTTTCCAAGATCAATCAAGGTCAGCTAGGTGCTGCTGTTTGCTATGAGTATCTTAGAACTGGCATTTGTAGTTGGCAATTTATAAAATAGTGAAATGAAAACCACCCCTGAGAGAAAAAGTGGAGGTCCTGTTGCTGACAGATTCTTATGTTCTGAATGTCTGATCCCACAGATAGCAATGCCTTTTCTGAACCTTGGAGACTGGTACTTTGATTACTCAGAATGCCTTCAGATGTTTTTAGCAAATATATTTAGATGTCCCAAAGAGTATTAAGAATCAACCTTCTTTGTCTTACCATTTTAAAATAATGTTTAATATATTTTGTATCTTGTTTATTTTATGCTTTATGGTAGAACAGGTTGCCACTTTCAGTAGTTTTAAGTGTTTTCCATTCTAATTCTGGATTTTAGGCTTCCTTTCTGTTCTATTTTAGCCTAAAATATTCAGAGCTAATTATATATAAGAGCTTAAAATTGCCACAGTTCTGACAGTAAACGACAAGTAAAATAACAGTCTTTTTTATAGTATGGACTGATGTAAGTACTAGCACACGTGGCTTTACAGTTGATTGGATTTAGAAGTTACATGAGATGATAGGATTGAATCTTCTTTCATAAGTAGATTTCAGAATAGATGCAAAGTACCTTGTTTTCTTGCAATGAATTTTTCAGGCTCTCCCATTCTTCCCAAGGTTCTTATGCAAAGGAAAGAACATGTTAGGTTACCATTTGCCATTGTAGTTTATATTCCTGCTCTAAAGGATCACAAGGAACAGAAAACCAAAATTAAGTGATTATCTGTCCTATTTCCTCAGTATTTGGATCCTTTTGCAACAGAGCTATTGCAGCAGATTCCTTGGGCTGTGCTGCAGTTTCCAAGGAGATGTGATGTCAGACAGAATCTAAATTTGGGGACCATTTATGCTGTTCTACTTCTGCAAAATACCCCTCTTCTTATATCCTGCTGGGGATGTGAAATAATGTTACAGATTAAACAAGTTTATACAATTTACATTGCTGTGCCATAATATTATTGACTATAAAGTAAATAGGTTTCATTATGTTTCAGACTAAATGTATTTCAACATTAATTTAAACTTATCTGGGATGAAATGTTTTTTTTTTCTATTGAGACCAGTCTGTCAGGGAAACCTGGTCTATCCAAATATGGGATGGAGCATACTGCTTCCGCTTCCGCCTTTCAGCCCCAATCCAGGAGCCTTTGCAGGCAGTCCAGTGGTGGGTTCCAGATCCTGTTCCAACCAGTATGGTTGGAATGGGCCCAGCGTCACCCACATGGACGCACGCAGCACATGTGCACATGTGCACAGTGTGCACATGCGTCATTCCTGCCAGCAACACTTATGCAAGCCTTTGCAATGCTCCAGCTGCTCGGCGCAGAAGTGCCAAAGGTTTTAAAAGACAGGTAAGGAGCTCGGGCTGGCAGGTGGGCCCACCGAAGCACCGTACTGGAACTGTACCC